TGACATGCACGATTGATTATAAAAGCATAATATACATGTAAATGTGATTAGTTTTAATGTTAGGATCTTGTTCTAAACAAATGCAATACAAATAGTTCTTGTATTGTAATCGCAAAGAAACATTTTAGATACATAATTATGATAATAAAAGTATTAATCTTTAATTTATTTAAGCCAAAGTAATGGAAAAAATAATAAAAAGTCCGAATTGCAGGCTGCTTTGGAAATGTCTTGAATATTTATATGTTACTAATTATATCTTGGACAGCACGTATTTTCAATTATATTCAACATGTACTGGACATTTTTGCCAGAGTTTAACTATACAGATTATATAGATACATCAACTGTTAAAACCTTGCTTAGTAAGAACAAAGCATATTAAAGACAAATTAAAGCAGCCAAGTAATAACGTCAGCACAACATTAGATTATAGGAACATAACGGTTTAGCTAATTCGTAATCTGATTGTAGTTGATTAAGATGAAAGAATTCCAGTTAATTGGAAAAACAGATAAAAAAGAAATGTTTCTCAGCTTCATTCAAAGCACATTTAATCTTAATCATCACCTTCTTTTATAGACGCACATTTGCAGACTCTTCCTAATAGGTTTTCCAATATCTATTGAATCCGACATTAATACGGACACTTCTACTCGAAGCCACTTGAAAACAAATCTGATGGTGCATCCATCTTAATTTTCTGCTATATTCTTTGAACTTTACAAGCAGTAATTATCCCTACTGGTAGGTTATGTTTGATATTCTATTGATTTAGTGTGTAACATTTGTATCCTACATGTAAATGGTAAATTAATAGTAATAATTAATCTTCATGATTTCTGCAATTTCGAGTTTGGGAATTATCAAATTCAATTTTGATATTGAAAGTAGTTCTAGTATCTACATAAACATACGGAAATGTATATATCAATAAATTCGACGTGTTTGTTTGTAATCTGTATAAATAACGTTAAGATTTGTGATCGAATGAGAATAAAGATATGCTCTCATGTAAAGATATAAAAACTGTCATTGCATTCTTTGGAGAATAAAGATTATATGACTCAGGACTAAAATTTGCAAGCATTTGAAATTTGAAATATTCATGTATCTGAAAATAATACATCAATGTTAGATGTTCGGAATTGTTTGAATTACATGTAAACATAAACATTTTACCCAATTTCTACCAACGTTTTATCTGTATATATGTATCCATATTAGAAGTCTATCACAAGGAGTCAGGAATATTATCAAATTGATGTAAATTATACAACCAAGTTGAAGTAGGGAAGTATATATTACGGAAGGGTGAATTATTTGACCGTTTTTCGTCACAATTATGTAACTGTTTAAAGACTTGAACCAAAAAAGCTCCGGTAAGTTACAAGGAGAAAAAATCATAAGGATGTCTCAAGGTGCCTCTAGTTTATAATAACAGCAAAATGTGTTACTGTAACATATTGTTTGTGAGCTAAAGTTTTTAATAGTCTTGATTAAATCCACTTTAAATATTGTTAATAATTAATTTTAGCAAAAATATAGTTTGATGAGAATAAAACTTCAACAGGTGTTGAAACGTTTATTTATTCATGTCATCACTATATATCTCTGGCATGTTTACAGACATTTTGTAATATAGGCGAAAACAGTCTGGTTTAATCGGGTCTGCAATTAATTTCATTCCATATTTGCTGAGAGTATTGCTGTACTTCCACAACAAGCGTAATTATATTAAACGTTTATTTGACACCTCATGCTCATCAGTTACGTAATCCGTTATGCGGTTATCTTATCAAAATAAAAGTAGTTGTTTCGATACAAATATTTTCCTTAAACATTACAGATCCGACAGATGTGTTGTTTTTTACCATGCTGAATTTAGCAAAAATGGTTATATTTTTTCTAAGCATTAACTAAGTTAATGTGAGATATAGTAGCAAAAGAAATTTTAGTAGATATTATAAAAACCTTAAATTATCTTCTTACTCAATAAGAAATACAACTAGCTTTTTGAATAAATTCAAAATTCCTTCAAATAAAACAAATTACTGATTTTTTGGAAACAGACATGTTACTTGAAGTAACTTTATGCCCATCTAAAGGTATATAGTGAGTGAACAGGTTAGAGTAAAAATATATTTTCATTTTGCCATAATTCCTTTTAATTTAATAATTTACGTCACATAAACAATAAATAACCCCCAGATCTAAACGAAATTTCTGTAAATATCATTTAGAATTTACCTGTTAAATTCAGTGTATAAAAAGAGTGGGGGAGTCTTTTTATATTTTAGGCAAATTTTAAATGTTATCCAAAACATTTTCCAATATAAACTGTTGGTCAAACATCATTTAAACAGTCAATCTTTTGAAATATAAAGTCAATTCAGCTCAACTTTACAATGAAAATATGAGCATAATGTCACTTTAACTAATAAAAAATTAACTCTTTTCTTTCTTTTAAGTACAGTTACAGCAAACATTCAACTTCACGATCAAATTTTGTAATAAATAAGTTTATTCTGAGGGGTCGATAATTCAAGACACCCACTCATAAAATGTTTATGTATTTTTTCAAACGTTCACCGTTTTACAATTTTAACATTATTCAAGCAGCATGTTAGCTCATATATTTGTAAGTTGTTATTATAACAGTTATAACGACTATAAGCCCAGGCCCACAAATCAAACAAAACAATCAAACTATGTATTCCTTTTCCTTTCATCTAAATTATACTGTTTTTAAATGCTAATCAACAGACGTTACAATAGGCTAAGACATATCCAATGAATTGCCTTACGTAATCATATCCCTTAGAGCTTTGTTGAGACAGACAAACTGTCTAAAGAAAGGAGGAAACTTCATGTAGCAATAGTTACTTTTTTGTATAGGTCCGTGCTCAATTTCAAAAATCATTTTCAATATATTAGGCTGTTTTGATTGTTTGTATGTCGATCTATTTGAAATAGTTTTGTTTCTTTTGTTTTAACGGCGCACCAACACAGTTTAGATGATATGGCGCCGAAACAGCAAAGATGATGGTTGCTTATCTCGGATGTAACAAACTTCAAAGCAACACCAGGGTGAAAACTACCTCATGATCAGAATATTTTTTCGGTTGTTTGGAAAAAAATTGTAACCATTTCTTAAGAGTTTGTTATTTTGTTGATAGTTCTTATATAACATATAGGATTTAAGGATTTTAAGATGCAATGCCGCTGGCAAATTTCCATTAATAAAGTAATCATTTGCATACAATATTCACAAAATTGAAAGGAGATATCAACAAGAAAAACTTATTCTACTGAGATACTCGATTTGTCTGGCTATCACGTGTTGTTATCCGTATCTATAATATGGGAAACATTGTTTTAGTCTTTGTATTCTTTGCAAGATTCAGAGTCCCTAGTTCATCTTATGCTATAAGGACATCCAACCAGACACATTGATATTACCAAGCTTTTATGATGTTTATAGTAAAAACTGCAGACCATGTTCCAGTTGTAAATAACATAATTATAGTGTTTGTTTTTACGTGACTTTTTGTGAAAAGTCTTTGCGACATAGCAGGACTCTTTTTCAAAGAATGACAGGGACTAACAGTTTCCTTCACGAACCTACGAACTAATGTTAAGAAAAGTGTTTTTTATCACATATGTATGAATATGATGCAAGAAATACAAACCTCAAGCATGTTTAAATCAGTAACCTATTTATTATGTAAATCTGCTCACGGATTTCTAATTAAAACAGTATACGGTTATAATCTAACATAAAACTGTTATCATAATTTTCTATGAGTTAAAGATTTAAAGATAAAAAATGCTCATCTTTTAGTGTAAGACTTTTATTGCAGACATTTATTGAAATCTATAAAATTCTAACTGAATATATCTTATTTAAAAAAGAACGTACAAACTCTGTATGGGAATCTGCGTTCCTTATTATGGGTCTAGTCTTAGGAATCTGCCAGTATTTTGTTGTCTTTTTAAATTACACTTTATATTCATAGTGTGTCCACTATCAGTGCGTATGACTAAAAGAATAACATACCTACTTTGCGTGAAACCAAAACTTGTTCATTTAATGTTTTAAAAATACTTTGTAGCAATTATCAATATTTTCAAATATCAAATTTGAGCATAGAATATCTTTAAACATTCGATCTTGTAGACTGTCAATTATCGTGTAATTAACATTTTCAATTCAAATATAAAGAAGCGTTTCCTAGACATAGGCACACATGATTGGCATTTTGGCTGATATTGATTTTTTCAGATCTGTGGTTATGAAACAAATGAAGCAGACACGAAACTCTTTCGACATTAATGACAGGAAAGTAAAATACCGAAATTAACTTAAATCGCGGAGTGATGGTTAAAACCATCCTAGAACTAGTATTGCTCGTCTTTAACTTTTGTATTCGCATGAAATGATTTTACAAGTTTCAAGCTTTTCAAAATCTAAGAAGGTGAGTCCTATGTTATGAATAAATATTCCGTAATTTATACCACAAGTTCTAACTCACATCTGCAAGTACTAGCTAAAGTTTCTCTCGTATTAGAAATTAAAATGCATAACGTATGCATGCATTCTTTATACCCATAGGTTTTTACAAGTGCATTAAGCATACGCTTTTACAATTTTCTGCAGAATGATAAGTTGAATTTAAAATTTATAGATTAAAAATGGAACGAGATGACGTTCGTGGTTAGAATAAAAAATGCATTAAGCAATTAAAATAAGCATTTTGAAACATAAATCAAATTGATCGAATTCATTAATCATTTCTTTCACATGATATATTTAAGCTGCCTCATTTACATAAATCCAGCATAAACCCAAGGGTGAATGCACAAGTACTATATTAGAAATCCTAATGCGATTTAAATGTTTGTCATTAAACGTGCAAAAAACCCTGAAAAAAAAACACTTTTATATTAAATACATTTTTCCTAAATATATAAAACATAAATAAGTTAACGAAACTTACCTGCCTTTTAATAATATAGAAAGTTTTTGGCCCGTCTTTGTTTGATCTTGATTAGCGTATAAAGCACCTTTTCCCAATAATTGTAAACTTCCAAAATCTGTCATTTCTTTAAACTGTTTTCTTGTCACTTTTAGTGGTTTAAAAGTGTGGGAATATACATCTTCTAAAGCCTTAGGAAATCTTTCTGGCACAACCTTATATCCGAGATATACGACGTGGACTGAATTAACGCAAAGAAAAATTGCATTCCATATGACAATATCCGACATGCAGACAAAAACAGCTCCCCATATGAGACCGAGTAAGAATCCTAAATTGAGCATAATGCGTAGAAAGAAACAATGGTATTTAAAGTTTGTTGGTGTCAGGAATGATATTAATATACACAGTTGCGCTAGCTGAAAAACGGCGTGCTGTGCATCGAGCCAGTCACTACACAGTCCTGAATGAAGATCAGAATTGTTTGCCCCTCCAAAGTTGTCTGATCTTGTTGTATTCATTTTTTTTTAAAAACTATTTCAATATAAACAATTCATATTCAAAAACGTTTAGTCGCAACAAAAAACATTGACGACTATGAACGGTTTGCGACTGAAATATTTTTATTTACGAATTAAGTAGCCAGAGTAATAATAAATCACGTTGCTTACTTACTATATAGAAAATGTTTTATTCCAGAAAGTCTTTAAATATTTCCATTTAAAATCCAGTATTAGTTTTTACATTTTAGAAGCAACACTTTCAAATAATTATATGAATCCAAATAGCAAATTCTTAAACAAAGTCACTAATTTGTTATTGGTAAACCCTCCTTTATCTTTTTTAAACGCGTATACTCCGCAATAATCCTGTTGCTACTGCTAGATTACAAAACGTGTTTCAGAAAGTCTCTCCTCTGATAAACCATTCCGAGAGTACACATCTCTGCTATAATGTTGATTTTCCGCCATGCCCAATATTACACAACCTTTAAATAACTCCACAGGATTACAACCTTGATCTCTAACACCAAGCCTGAATTAGGGACGGCTAGACCAGGACATGATACAGCTGATACGTCTGAAACAATAAAAAAGACAGGATAAACAAGACTTTCTACTGTGAACGTTATGCTATCTTATAGTGTATTTGTAACGTGCTTTTACCACATGCTCACATATATCGGATAAAGCTGAGCGTCTGCATATATTGTTGTTGTATTGGCTATTCTTTAAAGTTTGTTCAGTGATGTGCGCGAGTATTTAATAAACCAAATATAAATTTGCTGATTGAGTGTAATTTAATGAAAGTTATTCTTCTTATGTATAAGTTAAAATTTGTTAATAAACTGATCACCATATAGCGACTTTCATAGTTGCAAACACGCTATTGTTATTATGTGTCTGTCAATTAAAATATCTTATATATTAAGTTATTATTTTTTAGGTCATTGTATTGTTTCATAAAAAGAGGTTAACACTTAGACGTTGATTTTTTGTGAATAGATCAAACATTTGTATCATAACATATTATTTAATTATCTAACTTCATGACGTGTACGTGTTGTGAATTAAACGTTATCTAGAACATTTAGTCCAAGTTTAAGATATGGTAAAAATGAGCAAGCGTTTGGTTATCTCATTTACTTCAAATAAAATAGAACTCTTAATATAAATATATAAGATAATTGGCAATAAGTTACTAATATAATTGTTTTTACATCAATGTTATCAATGTTTTTTGCATCAAATTGTATCAGTAAGATTATCTGTATAAATCTGTCAGAATGACAACAAATTATGCACTTCTTATTTACCAAGACCTTCTCTGTTACAAAGTCGTATGAACTTATCAAATTAATGAATATTTATCTGAGTCCAATCTTCCTAACCTTCAAATACTAGCGTTTACCTACCATGACAGCAATAGTTCCTATGTTTTCTAGGCTCTAATAATTTCAGATATATTTTCCTTAGACACACTGAAAATGACAGTTCACACAAACATTTCTCTTACACGCGCTTGTCTGAAAGCTGTTAAGCATATGCATTCAAAACATTGGACTGATATTTGAAAACAATATTCGCCTGGTTCTATCTTTCATTCTATTGCAATAACATAGAAACTTAAAATATCGTTAATGAAGTTTCGTACACGTGCTCGAGGTTATAAATATGATATGCAGGAACGCCTATATTACAGCGAAGCGTTAACAGAAAGCAATCTCTGAAGAAAGCAAAGCATGTGATAAAAGATCATGAATTATAGATATTTGCAAATAGTACTTTGTTTTGTAGAAATGAAGTATTGTTGTTGTTGTTTTTAATTATGAAAATAAACAAAACATAAATTTGTCAAGTCATGATGTAGCGTGAAAAAAAGAAATAAAAAGAAATCAAATCAGAATTTAAAAGAGCGTATGCAGTTTTGGTGTATCATTGCTTTTTTGTTGCAATCAAAGAATAATAATATCAGTTTCTGTCATATGTTACGGTTCAAAACGGAATACCCGTCCCGAGGGGACCCGTCAATTGGGCGGGGACGGACATACCGATCTGAAGCGCAAACATATGTTAGATATTTTTTCTTGCATATTCTACAATATCCTATCATATTTTAAATTATTTACCTCAATAAACAATTTTCCATGGAAATCTATTTCATTACACCCGTAGCTTTATTCTAACAACAGCGTAGGGAATAACAACTTCATTAAAAACGGCAAAATTTCGTCATCCTAAGCGTGCAGTTTCATTCTTAAATACTCCAAAACGTCATTTGAATGCGTTTTATTAATAATGCACTCATCTGGCACCCCATGCCAAATAAAATCTCCGGAATGCTAGCAAAAGAAATAGTTATATGCATTTGTAAAATGTAACAATTTTGATAACATAAAAATATTTCCACATTTTGCAGTTTTTTTTTGAAGACTTGTATTTTTTTGATAGTTCAATTGTCAATTTCATGACAGTTGTAGTGTATTATTATTTTTATAATTGTTGTGATTATTATTTTTCACATGTATTTAACTTTTTTTCATACAATTATATACATATGGTCTTTTTTCTTTCCATGAATAACAATCAAAACACGTGACCTAGTGTTACTAAAATTTAAAACAGTAAAATGATATTAAAGCTAAATATAGAGATAAATGTTATCATTTAAATAGTTTGTAGCGAAAGTATGAGTTCATTATGTTATACTGCTAAACCTTAGGTTAAGACATGTATTTTAATGCTTTCTGGAAAACTGGCATTATTATAAAAAAAACAAGCAATGCTTGTATAGCATGGATAAGCAGTCGCAACAAAACGTACATCATCATATACAACGTTCATTGTTCTTGAAATCTTTTAAAGAATAACATCATTCTAAACCGTAACGATTTTGCTTAAACGTAGAGAGTCCAAGAGTCGTTTTTTGTTGTTACAAACACATCATCAACATAGCGATATTTGCTTTTGATTCAAATATGATTATTTCCGTTTTGTAATGAATTTAACATTTTCAATGTTCATCAAATAATTAAACCATGAAATCAATTATAACACATGCAATGAATAAATATATATTTCCCTTAAAACATATATCCTTACCCCAAATACATGGAAATTTGAAAAACAATAACAAACAGAAACAAAAACAAAGGAAAAAATGGGTATTGCGGCAATTTCTCTGACTGACACATGATTTCGTTCTATGCAATAAACAAACCTGTTTGTGTATACATATTTAAATTTCATTTCTTCCATTATCATCCATCGTGTAAACATCAAAAAGTTAATACAAGGAAACGTTATGAGGGGTCAGAATATACCAGTGATTACATAATCAATTGTTGGAGGAGACAAATGGTAGAAGTGAAGTCTATTTTGTTTACTTAATGTACTTGCTAATCATAGTTTCTCATTTGAGTCTAACTCAATTCTTAAATAATTGATCTGGAAATGCCAACAGTAGACTACTGCTGGTAATGTTTTTAGTTTAGCAGAACATTTAGGAAACTACCTCGCTTCTTGCGTATGCTACAGCTTTACAATTTCTTCATTAAATTAAGACGTGATATCTTTTTTATTTCAAAGTTCCATTAACACTTCAATATTTCAAGGAAACTCCATAATGAAATTACAATTTGTTTTTGTTCGTTTGTTGTTTTTCTTTGTCGCCAGTCATAGTTTTAAAAAGAAACAGATTGATGCATATGCTTAATTATTGAACATGAAAGCTTAGTTTTCTTTTCGATTTGTGTGACCGGTTTGTTTCATATTTATAAACACTTAAGAAAAGATAATTATCATAATAAAACCTAAGGATATAAACTAAAAGAATAACGAACACAATGCAAAATTGTAACTTATTTATCACATTGCTGAATCGTTTATTTTGTTTTTTATACTAACATTCCAATATCTGTGTTTAGGAACAAGAAAGTTTATGTTATTATTACATAAATGCCCTATCATGAAATATATGTTCTTCGAAAATATCTAAGGTAAAAAGTGAGATAGGTAATTATTATCTTTATGTTTCTTGTAATGATAAAAAATCATGAAACATGTTTTTCAAAATGACTGGAGATATGTTTGGTATATCACCCTTTATGTAAATAAACATTTTGAATGACTATCTTAGTTTCACGTGCGAGACAAGTTCGAGAGAAAATTATGATATCTTTGCTAAAAATCTTTAGCAATTTTTACATATGGGGAACAAGACTGTTTTTTCATAGTTAAGGTTTGATGTTTTAAAATAAGGGGTCGTCACTACCGCTTTCAGGAAATACTTTTGCAGATAAAAGGGAGATCCTAGATAGTATTTCTATAACTTTTAGTTCAACCATTTATATGTATTTAAGCTTAAGAAAAAGCTCAAAAGCTTTTATTTTTTGGTGTCAAATCATAGTTTTTAAAAAGTTATTCATTTGACATTTTTGTAAATAATCTTTTCCTCCTGGTGTTTTTTGGCAATCAGTAATTTGCATGTTGATTAAGTATATTGACTAGAAGTCAAAATACTGCTTTGTTTAAGTTTTGCTTATTTTGCTTAGGAAGCTATATCAAGAAAAAATTTGTTCTTACATGTTATCCAGGAACATTAAGAAGCACAACATATATGTAGGAATTGTTAAATAATGGCCCTAGCAATGTCATATAAAGAACTTAACCATGTTTTTTTATTTATTGTTATAAATGCTGTTATGATTTTAAATCCAGATGTAATCTGATGCCTTGGTTTATTATGTATATGTATTAAATGTATTTTGCGAATAATGATTGTATAGTAAGGTATATCCTACAGAATAAACTTGTTTGAATCGAGACTGAAAATATATTGATTTAACCTATTTAACACAGCATTAAATATAATCTAACAGCATTCCGAAACATGTAAATGTGGCGAATATAAATTATCATTGACATTGTTATAAAACATGTATCGATGAGTTTACATCGATATCATATCTCCATTAAATCATTCATGTAAAATAAATCTAATGCAATAAGTAGTTCTCATTTTAGAATCAATAATCACGTATTGCTCATAAACCATAGAGAACTGTGATAATTTCAAGCGCCTACGCATGGCAAACGCTTGTATCGCAATTACGTGGGCAATGTTTCATACTAAATCATAACGCTCATCTATTAGATGCTCAACCATTTGAGTGATTTAAAGACAAGTCAAGTTAGCCCAACAGATAAACATGGGTTATAAAAGGAGTAAAAGCCAAGAAACAAGCGGTATCGCGTAGTAGAAGAAGGTCAAAGCATAGCAATAAAATAAAATATCAAATTACGTTTTATCATGCGTCTTTAAATAACTTAGCAAAACTATGCTTAACAAAAAGACGATAAGAAATGACACATTTTCAAATCTAGAGTTTTTAATACTTATAATAAAAACGTTTTATTTCTAATTCAAGATATAATACTGACACGCTCTCTATTCGGCAAACCAAACACAATCTCACTCAGGAACAATTTTGTTATGACTTAGAAGTTATTAGGGTGTGTAGTGCGCGAATCCGTTGTAATTACCTTAACAGGACAGCATAATTCAGAAAATGACATTATACAGTATAAGGTCAGTAGAGATCGTGAAATTTATATGTTCTATTGACCTAGATCAATTAGATACAGTTTTCAATGATCAAGAAATCATAGATTATGCCTAGAGTATATCATGAAATGACAAGGCAATTATCTGTTCAAGCACATTTCAAACGAATGTAAGATAGGAAGATGACCTATGCTATCGACAACTACTCGACCACTAACAGATTTGCTATCAGATCGACATAAAGGCCAAAGCTTCTTTACTAAATTGTTTGAACTCGATTTGTTCATCTTCTTGGGAGTAGGAATTTCAAAATATGTTTCTACATTTTTTACTTCGACCACACTAACAATGTTCTTGTTTCCATCGAATATGTATATGCCTAATATAACCTTAATGAATTCATCAATGTTTAACGACATTCTGGAAATATTAAACTTACGTATATTAATAGAACAATATCTTAACTGCAAAAAATATTAACATCAAATAAATTGGAAGTCGCTGCTAATTCTCTATGATATATCAGAATATAAAAACATGTATATTTTACACCTTTTACCATAATTCTAATACCAAACAAATTAATTATATTTATTCCTATTTTATCCTGAATCGAGACATATTACATGTTTTTTTATTCGTGCTATCTTATGTAAATACATATATTTTTTAAATTTTGTATTTCGACTTATCAACTACTGACGAAAACAATAACGTACTTATTTTATCTGTATATGGAGTAAAAAGAAGACATTTTCATTTAATATATTATTAAGCTTACAACCTTTCTTACCTAGAGATAAATAAAAACATCAAATATATTATTTTAGAATACGCACCTTTACTACCCATTATGAACTCTATTTGACAAACGATATTTTCATCTTCTGATAACATCTATGATAGAGTTTCATATTTCTTGATAATACATGAAGTCAAACATGATACCTGTTGCCTTGGATACTGTTAAGTCACAATCGATACACCTCAAGATAAACTGA